TTTGAAGCCCCCTCATAGAAAAGACAGAAGCACTATTAATGAGCAAAGAGCTCTGAGTATAAGGGCAAGAAATGGTGATGGCATAAAGAGAATTTAGAATATGCAAGACGCTGGGGCTGATTGGGTTGAAGTAATGAAGAACATTAAAAGGGGTGAAAATTGAAGCTTGGGGTAATTTATAGCTTCTCTGTAAAGGGCAGGGTACTAGGAATCATAAATAGCTTTGAGTCGACAACTGTAGTAGCTGAACTAGATGCTCTGGAGAAATGAAGGGTTGCAGCTTAAATACAAACACATTCCTTCCTTCCTTCCAGATTTTATTTCCCTGAAATTTCATAGAGTAAAAGCTGCAGCTGTTGTCCAGCTCTGGGTGATGGATGGAGGAGGAGTCCTGACATGATGTCCATTCCAGAATGAGTCAGTGACTGAAAGCAGGCATGCACTAATACAGTTACGTTCCCCCAAATGAATTCGGTTGGATTTGCAGGGCCACTATGTTTCCTGTGAAGATGACAAAGCCCATGACTGTCTGCTTCTGCACTAAGTGTCCTGGACTCATCAAGGAGAGGAGGGGCAGTCATGACGGAGGCATTCCCCATTGCTGCCAGATGCTCGCATTGTACCCTTTGCTTCATCTCCGCCTCTCAATTGGAAGCCGCTGCTCCTCTTCAACTCCAGAAGAAGGAGAGTTCAATTCTTTATTGTCTAGTGCCTGGGAGCACAGATCCAATAGAAGTACTGGCAGTGCTTAAATTAAGTCTATAGCTGGGACTGGCAGGTGTTTAACAATGTGAGCAAAATTTATTTTTGTCCCATTCCCAGAAAATCTCAGCTTGACCACATGACCCTGAGTCGACATTTGAAAATTCTAACTTAAAAAGAAAAATCAAAGGGAGATCTTGAATTTAAAAAAGGATTTTTTTTCTCAGTTCCCCTGAAGGATTTAATTACTATAGTTGTGTACAAAAGTCTAATTATCTGAGCAAAGAACCCACAAAACTTGCGGGTCAGATCATAAAAAGCTGATCTTTAATTATGACAGGGCTGATGGAAAACAAACATGTGAACACAAAACCAACAACAATAGAGACATTGATAAAGCTATCCAGGAAGTTATAATGATCGTCAGTGGAAAATGTGATTCTATTTATCAACATAATCTCATAAGGTGAGAAGTGCATGTTTTGTTTCGATGCAATTGTCAATTAAAATTTAATTAAAATACTCAAACTGAGTTTCAAAATTTATTGTACATTAAGTTCATTTTTTTTAACTTTAAACAGAAAACAGTGAGGACATGTTTTGAAACCAGAATACTGCTGGACTCAGCTTTTAAAATTAATGGTGGTGTGTGACTTTCTTTAATAGTCTTTCTATGTCAGTAACTATTGAACGAACTCATTTAGAAACACAAATGCTGATATCTTCAGAATTTGGAGAAGATATCACTGGTTCTTTGATTAACAGTGAAATTTCCCCAAATAAATTGTTTTAGTATCATATTTATTTTAAGTCATGCACATGCCTGGAGAAGTTTGGCAGTTATTTACTTTTGATGTTGTCTCTAAAGTTTTGGGTTCACCAGGTCATGAGGCTACATTCTGCGTACATTGGAGGAATAATGTGAGAGACAAAGACTGAGTTAAAAGGCTTCCCCACAGAGAAGCAAAGAATGATAAATATACGGCGAGAAATCCGTGCGGGCAGAGAAAAACGAGAGAAAGAGCTAACAGCACAAAGGTGAACAAATATAAATGCTGAGTAGGATTTAAAAATAAGCCAATTGTCATAGTTTAAGCTTTAGAAGCATATGTGCACAGGTCTCCTTTTCCACAATCTTTCCTAAGTGAAGCATGAAAGGCAAGCTAAAAAGCAACTGCTTGGAGAACAAGGTGTTATCCCTGTGCCTCTTCAGACCACGGGGCTGGGTGAGTGGGTAGAATTGATGTTAAGGTAAAGATTTGCAGAATGGCAGTACTTTGACACAGAAATCAAGAGATCTGGTTTCTAGTTGCCTTCGCTTCCCCTTTGTATGAATTACAAAGGTGTGGTTCCCGAACCTCAATGGGTTTACCTGGAAGTTGAAGGCAGTAAAACGCAATGATCTCTGAGGTCCCTTGTGCCCTCTGGCAACATTTTAAGAACTCTTGCTTCTCTACCAGGAAGCTGGATTACCTACTGCCAGTTGGACAAAATGGTTTGCCTTGCCTAGGCATGGGAGCGCTGGTAGCTAAGATCCACACAGTGGAATTCCAAGGAAGAAAGGCCTGGTGATCTGCGTCAGTAAGATAACAGCCAAAGAAACCTCATGGGACACTGCTCTGCTCGCAGGCACGTGGATCTATATTTACACGATGTTCTCACCCCGCAAAATCCCAGGGTGACTCAGAAGAGCTACCCTGCCATTTGTTGTGTCAAGACATACAAATAATTCATGTAATTGTGAAGTGGCCAATATTGTTAAGGACAATTAAATCTTTGCTCTTTCTATTACCTGTCTAGAATTCTTACTACTTACATTGTATAATGATGAAAAAAGTACACGTAAAGATTAGACTTTGCAAGCGATGGATTTCGATGATTAGGGAAAAAAATGGCATGTTATTTTTGCTAGAGTTTACCGGCAGTATGTCAAGGAAAAAGAAGATACACTTTGGTCAGTCATACCCAGCTCCCGGCCATCAAGTCCCTGCTGAAGCAGGCCACCTTGCGGGAGACAGTGAAGCTGCCCCCAAAATGTTTCCAAGAAGCAGAAACTCACAGCTTGACGTCACCGAGTGGCTAGTGTATGCCAACCGTGGACCTCAATTCCCAACTGAGTGCTTAACCATGAACCACTGGGCTCCTTGCGGTCTCAGCACACAGCCATCAGAAGACTAGTCACCTCCAAGCTTGTAATAAACCAATGTTCTAAAGAAGTCATCACGGAATCAGAAAAATCTGAAATGACCGACTACTTTGTTCAGGTGCGAGATTGTAATTTGAATGCGCAAGTGTTTGTTTCAGAAGCAGGAAGAGACAAATTGCAATTTAATTAAATTTCAAAGTATAGCCTGAATGCTTTAAAAGAGGGAGGAGCTGGTAAAAGGACAACATAATGTCAATTAAGTTCTATCTCCTGTAGCTTTTTCAATCAAAAATGTGGAATTACAATACCTGTATTAAGTGTCTATCCTACTCTATAAATTACTGACTTGAGACCTGGCTCGTCTTTCGCTGCTACCTATAGCGTGTGTGTGTGTGTGTGTGTGTGTGTGTGTGTGTGTGTGTGAGAGAGAGAGAGAGAGAACACTGCAGTCTAGTGAGGAGCCCCGGTGGCACAGAGGCTTTCTACTCTGGCAAAGAGCCACAGCCCAGGGAAGTCTGGGGCGGTTCTACCTTGTCCTGAGTCAGCATCAAGCTGATGGCAGTGAGTTTGTTTTGTGGATGAAGGTTACTAGGGGAGTGCCCTACCCCATTTCCTGGCTATTTGTCATAAGTGCTATTTTAGGAAAAGAATCCTGGTGTGCAAAGGGTAGTTTTTGGTAAATAGAGAGTGGGAGATGAGTGCGGAAAGGTACTGACTGAGGAATGGCCATCAATAAGAAGAACCAAGTCTAAGTTACTCAGCGTGTTCCGGACTATTTTTTACACCAAATAAGACAGGGGACGTCAGCTTATGTCTTTACATGAACTTTATCTGAAGTGGAGCCTTCGATGAATATGCCCTGTTTTCCTAGGAGTTGTCTGTGTTTTAAAGAGGCCCAACGCTGGAATTAAAGCAGAAATACTTCGTTCCAAACCGACTCCAGCCCCACTCCCACCCTCACCCCCACCTCCAAACAGCGGGAGCCTCTCCGAACATGACAGGATTGTATCATGGCAACTGAATTTTAAAAATGGATCCAGTTGTCAGTGGACATAGATATTATAAGGAGGGAAAAAGTTAAAAAAACTAGGCGGAATTGCAGGGAAAGTTTAAAACCTAGAATCTAGGACTCTGTAATTCAAGACCCACTCTGTTTACCACTATAAAAGTAGCACCTTCCCAAACCCAAAGCAGGTACTAATTCATATTAAAATCCATACCACGTGTTATAGCTGAGGCAAATATTTTACTCGTCCTTTGGCACACTGCGCGTACAATGTTAACATAATGCGAACCGCCTGAAACTGGTCAGTGACCAACGAGAGCTCTGGTGAAAATAAAACCCCTGGCCGTTCGTTCTCTGCCCACTGGCTGAATGCAAACCCGCGGGATGCAATCCGAGATCATCCTCCTGTTAGACATCCCTCCCAGTCACCACAGGTTCTAACAGCTAAACACACGCTGTACCCCAAGACCAAATTAAGGTCTTCACAGCAATCAAAGACAGAAACAATCCATTTGAAGCCGTGTAAAGGGCCTGATACCGTTAAAGTAAAATCCGCCTTCTTTATTTCAGTGTGCAGTTACTATCATTAGAGTTGGCAGATCCAACTGGCGGTGCTTTTCTTAATTCTGCAAAACATGTAAGGACTTGATTCTTTCATCCTCACGCCAGTAATATTCCCTGAGGAAATGACACCGTGGCTCCAGCAAGAACGACACAATCAAACCAACGCCTGCAGAGAATAGTCCTCATATATTTCCCTGAGCAGAGTGCAACGCTTGACTATCCTTTAAATATTCCTTCCCCTCACTGGATCCTATATTTATATTTATAATGCACTCACTCAATATATGACCTATTTCCCCCTTAGTTTGTCCTCATGGCTGAGGGGAAAGTTTTAATCTCATGACTGCCTTAATCCCCAATACTAGCAAGGCCCAGCATTCTGCAGAGATTAATATCTATGAAGCTCACAAAAAGGAATCATATACAAAAATATTGAACGTTGTCTTAAAAATAAAATACAATTGAAAATTCTCTTTCATAACATTACAATTTAACCTATGGTCTTTGCTGATCTTAAGTGACCAACAAGAGCATTTCACAATCGAGGAAAGAAGCACATAGCAATGGTTGTCGAACACATACCTTTTGTACTATTTAGACTTAGGCACACGCTTGTGGAAATGGTCGGTTTCTTTCAAGGTCTTCACAAGACTCGTTTCTCCCCGGGTTTTATGTACAGCAGATGCCCCAGTCCCCTGAAAGTGGTGGTGTGGAGGCCAGCTCCACTGAAGACCCTATCAAGCAAGTCGATGAGATGGCTTAATTTATTTTAGCCCTGTGTCTGAAGGGTGCGACTTAGCACCTATTTTTAGGAAGTGAGCTCTGCATAGGTGGGGCCTGAGTCAAACTTTTCAGAAGTGCTCCTGCAGGCACTCTGCCTTGTAGAACCCTCTGTAGCCTGTGCCCGGCTCCAACACATGCCCAGTTCATCAAGGTCCCTTCCGCAGCCATGCCCACCAAGCCTCCTCCCCACTTCTGAACAAACCCTCAGCTGTAACCAGCACAAAGGAGTAGAAATTTGGATTACAGCATTTCCTTCGATAATTTCAATCTGTGAAAAGTGAAGAAGATTCCAATAAAAACATGCAGTAAAGTTCCAGTTTATTCTAGTGGAATAAACATCTGAGTTCCCAGGGAGAGGAAACTCTATTTTATTTATAATTCAGAAAATGTTCTGAGCTATACAAAAGTGTGAGCTTGCTTTCTGAAGAGTGCAGATAGAGAATATTTCCAGCATTGCAAAAAGTCACATAGGAAATAAAACACAGCTCTATCATTTAAGTGATGGAAGCTTTCTTGGTTAAAAACATAATACCAATAAACAGGGGTGAGGAAGGAAGGAATGAGAAGGCCAAGCTCGGGTGTTCTGATTCCTGACCACAGAGATTAGCTTTAATCATTTGGCATGAAGAAGAGCGAGCAGGGAAAGGGAATTACCTCACACACTGTTGAGAAACTCATATTAAATGTCATTTGCTGATGTCCAACTTATTCAGCACACACTGCCAACCCGACCCTGAAGAAATAAGGGAACTGAACTGGTGTTACAGTGCTCTGGCGAGGATGTTATTGGACAAGTGCTGGGCTGCTAAGTACCAGGTTCAAACCCAACAGCGAAAGATGCGTTCTCATGAAGATTTCGCAGATGCAGAAACAGAAGACAAGGCTAGTGGGAGTCAATACCTACTTGATAACAATGGGTGGTGGGTGGGGTGGCTACTGGAGAAAGACCTGGTGATTAGTACTATAAGGTTATAGCCTGGAAAACCTTCGGTCACTGTTGCAGCCTGCCACACAGTGTTCTTTTAAGTCTGAATGGGACTGGCGCACGTCAAATTAGAGCTGCCGTGTAGCTCTCTAAGGCCAACGGTGAACAAAGTATAAGTATAACATATTCAGTTTCCCTATCTTTCTTTAGAGAGGGACCTCCCAAGAACCTCAAATAAAGAAAGAGGAAATTGGCATTGGTATTTTAAAAATACCCAATGTGCTACTAATTGATACATAAGCTATTTATCATATTATTTATTATTAAATGTTAATATCCACATTAATATTTTTCATATAGAACCCTAGTTTCAAGAAAGATAGACCTACAAATGATATTCAACCATATTTGATTTTAAGACAAATTTTCTGAAAGGATGATCCTGTATATTACTCTGGATATTTATGAGTCAAAATTCAGTGTTGTTTAGTATGCTATATAGTAGCTACATGTGGTTATTTGAATTTCACTTTGAATCAATAACAATTAAGTACAATAAAATAATACAGTGCCTCTGTTGCAAAGGCCACCGGTCAGGTGTTCAGTTGCCACATACAGGCAGGGGCTGCTATATTAGAGAGTGAAGATTGAGAATATTTCCATCATTGCAAAAATTTATATCAGACATTGTGAATTTAGAACATAATATGTCAACATCACTTGGCCAGCAATTGACTTCGGGGCAAGTCTCATAACTTTTCTCGTCCTCACTTCCTTTATCTGAGGCTCGTTAGGACTACATTGACCTCCTTAAAGGAGGGGCTCACAATAACAATCTTGCTGTCATCAGCAAATCCCTCACCTCACTGTGTAGCCAGAGCTGCTTTAAAATACTCAGGCTGAATCCAGGATATCATCCCTACTTAATGCATTATTATTTTTATTACTATTATCACCTTGCCATGTCCATAGAAAATGGGCTTCTGAACTAAAATCACAAAAGGTTCAACGGAATATGAAAAGATCGATCTATTGAGAAAAATGTAGTTAACCGAACACTTGTATTGTACGGACTCCTAGCTGCCGATGATGTGTGTTCATTGTGATGTTTGTGTGCTCATAATTGCTGCTGATCGTTTGACGTGTTATCTGCTCAAACACCTGGGTTTCAGATGTCTCTTCTGCTTTTCTTTTCTCTTTTTAAAATTTTAATCATTTTATCAGGGGCTCATACAACTCTTATCATAATTCATACAGGCATCCATTGTGTCAAGCACATTTGTACATTTGTTGCCATCATCATTCTCAAAACATTTGCTTTCTACTTGAGCCCTTGGTATCAGCTCTTCATTTTCCCCATCCCACCCCGTCCCCCTCCCTCATGAACCCTTGATAATTTATAAATTATTATTATTTTTTCATATCTTAAACTGTCTGACGTCTCTCTTCACCCACTTTTCTGTTGTCCTTGCATTCCCATTTCATTGTCATGACAGGGAGGTTTTACTCAAAACGAGTCCTCTTTAAACATCCCGTTTTTACTTTTCAGGAAGGAACTGTATTTGAGATAAATTCCTTAAAGTTATCTGTTGTTAGTAGTCAGAGAATTGGCCACCAACTCTTCATGACCTTCCTTGCACACACTCTCTGTGTGGGTTTGAACTGCCAGAATTGGGTTAGCAGCTGACCTCAAACTTCTTACATTACTTCGCAGGTAATTCATTAGAAGTTGAAAATTTTTATTTCATATTTTTCACTGTACATTTCTGGTGTTTTCAACAGTCTAAAAATCAAACAATTAGAAATAGCCATAATGAAAAAAAGGTTGGAAAAATAAAATTTGCTGGTATATTACAACGTACTTGGTTATTAAATAAGGATAATGCATATTAGCAGCATGCATATAGTAACTAACTTAAGGTCAAGCAGATCTGGAACAAATTAGTTATCACACAATCACTTGAATTATTCACTTTAGTCACGTAGTAATTTATAATATCAGCTCCCAGATTCTCACTATTCATTATTTCAGACACTCTTCATTTACCAGCAATCTAATCAACTAAACTATTTCAGTCACGATAAAGATAAGATGGATGGACAGAAAGATAAATTAATAGAGGAATGAGAGACAGATTATGTAGGTAGAAAGAACCTTAAGATGATTTGTTGTATCACAAAATCTTAGAAAGTTTGTAGTAAAAATGTCACTCTTAATTCATAAATTGCTTAAATTACCTCCTCAGTGCTAAGGTATTTCTAACTACTCAGATTTACATTGTATTGAATCAAAACCTGTGAAATATTTTTGTTTCCAGTGAAATGGAATAACCAGCATCATGCCAGTTATCCCACTGAGAACAATCTGGATCAATTACAAAAATAAGAGATCAGTCCAAGCAATGAGGACCAGAGCAAGAACCTTTCTAACGTGATTTGAGGATTGGGGCTGTCCGTGGGGAGTTTGCCAAGTCCCAGTGCTTCTAGAAATGGAATGTGGGTTGGCCACCCAGAAGCAGCACTGCTGGGAGGCAGAAAAAGAGCACACACAACATTCAACAGCTACATGAGTTTGAAGGGGCAAAGCTGGAAAGTCGAGGGACTTTAAATTCTCCATTCTCACTCGAGATATTCACTGAGTTCCAAATGCTCACAGCACAATCGGTTAAGATTGTAAGTCATAACTCAGAAAAAATACAGCAGAATAATACATATTTTCATAAATCTTAGGAAACAAGGGTCCAGCAAGAGGAATGACAATAGTTGAAAGCCCCGGAGGAAAAGGCGAACTGACACAAAAATAATGGGAAACAACTGCTTTGTCCCCGGGCTTGCTTGTGAGTCAAGCTTAGTTAGAAGTTGAGAATTCTCTCTCGGCATCAGCAGTTGGCTCCAGCTGGGACACAGAGAAATGAGCAAAGATTTTGGCAGTTGTTCAAGTTTGAGGTGACAAAACTGGCAATTTGAGTGGTCTCAAGCACAGTCAGTCTCCACTCAGGGAATTTGCTAAATTCGGAAGCTTCAAATGATGTGAGGCTAAATATCCAATGGAAAAACCCCTAAAAAGTAGAGCAGACATCCCTGCAATGTCTCAGTACTAGAGAGAAATGGGTCTACCATTTCCTCAGTGAAGTCCAATAAGAGGTGGCCAGACCCTTCACAAACATTCTATTTGCCTATCAAGTAAAAATTGAATCTCAGGGAAAAAATGAGGAGCTGATGCCAGGGGCTTAGGTGGAGAGCAAATGTTTTGAGAATGATGAGGGCAACGAATGTACAAATGTGCTTTACACAATTGACCTATGTATGGATTGTGATAAGAGTTGTATGAACCCCTAATAAAATGATTAAAAAAATAATAAACAAACAAAAATTGAATCTCTGGTGAGAGGTAATTCCATCTTGATTTTATTTTATTTTTTACATTTAATTTGAAATACAAAATACATGGTTTTTAATTAAAAGTATAAACTGAAAATACTTAGAGTCAACGCAACCAGAAGTTAGTTCTTTGAGACTATCCATGTAATTGGCAATAAAGTAGGTAATCTAGATGAAATGAACCCATTTTTTGAAGCATTCAACCTACCTAAACTGACTCGAGAGGAAATAGAAAGTCTCAACACACCTATGACCACAGGAGAGATTGAATTAGTGATCAAAAACTTCCTAATAACCACAACAAAGGCCTAGACCAGATGGCTTTGTTGGGGAACCCGATCAAACATTTAGAGAAGAATTCATAACAATATTGTTTAAAATCTTACAGAAGCATACTCTAATTCATTCTATGAAGCAAATATAACCCTGATATCAAAATCAGACAAAAAACTACACAAAATGAAAATGGCAGACTTCTGATTATATATGAGGAAATCCTCAAGAAGAGAGCAATAAACAGCATCCAATAGATTGTTCAAAAGGATTATGCACTGTAACTGAGTGGGATATCTTCCAATAGTATCTACAATGAAGTCATTACCATCAAGTTAATTCCAATTCATAGTGACCT